TTTTTATTTTATTGTATTATTTTTATTCTTTTTTATTTTATTGTATTATTTTTATTCTTTTTTATTTTTACTGTATTATTTTTATTCTTTTTTAAAATTTAATTTTTATTTATTATTTTATTTATTTTATTATTTATTGCTAGGTAAGGCTGCAAACAAGAAAGATTAGACCTGTGTGAGGAATCTCTCATTTTTTCCACTGAAATGTGGTGGTGGTGGGGGTTGGTCACCTTACAAATTTCCCTAGAAGCGCTCAAGGCACAAATGTCCAGGTTCAAATAATTATTGTATTTTGGACACATTATGTGAAGACCCAGCTCTCTGGAAAAGGCTATAATGCTGGCAAAGGTTGAAGTAAAGAGAAGAAGGCAATGACCAGCAGCCAAGTAAATGGACTTAGTTACCATGACAATGGGGGAGGGCACCATTACAAAATTTGAAGGACCAGGTTAGGGACAGATCACCATGGGGAAAATGTATGTGGCTACTAAGGGTTGAAAATGACTTGATGGCACATAATCAGTCGATCATAGCTTTCTTTAGCACTTCTTAAAGCCAGAAGATATTACTTTGCAGGTGCAGCTGATGTGGAAAAGCCTCTTCCAGCTACTCCTAGTGCCCAAGGACAAAAATGAAGCAGGTGAAATATGAGTAATGTGTGGTTTTCTCAATACTTTCTTAGCAAAGCCCCACTCAAAGATTTGCACAACCTTAATAAATTCCATGTGCATAAATAAATGTACAAACAAGGAGATTTCAATCATGCCCAGAAAATAAGATAGTGTATCCGCTGAAATTGTTTCCCTGTCTTTATCATTTGTTTTCATTTAAAGGCATCAAAGTCTTGTTTCTATTAAAAATGGTCGATTCAGGCACCCAACCCAGGACCTTCGTTCATGGTGATATAAATGTTCATGTAAATGAAAATGGCCTTCACTCATGTTAATATGAATAAAATGTCTTCAATGTTTTTCCTAGGCTTCAGATCAAGTGTTCAAGCTGACAGGTCATTTCCCAGATTATAGTCATTAAAAGAGACAAAATACTCTATTATACTTACCACAACTTTCACATGTTTGGATAAATCTCTAGAGCTTCTCTGAAGGAAATCTGAAAAAGCTGCCTAGATTACAGGAACAGAAGCAATACAGAAAGGTGAAATATAATTTTTCCTGAAATTCTTGACAGTATTTCTAGAACATCAAGTGCAAACTTTAAGTAAACTTGCCCCTTAGAAAGAAGTCTGTACAAAACAAAGTACTGTATATGATTTCTACTCTTGATTATGACTTATTTTCCATGTCAACAATTATAGAAATACTAATTGATAATGCGACTCTCCCTGGGTATTTATTTATGTTGGGGGGGGGGGGAATGTCCAGACCAAACGTAATTTCTAATGTTGGATTTTCCCCCTTACCTGAGGGAGCCCCCTTGTGGAGTACTGTGAAGCAGTTACCATGGCAACTCCACTGCACTGTACAGTAGAAGCCATTTTAAAGCACAACAGGCTGTATCTCAAAGAAACACACACCACAAGGGGTGTTAGGGATGTCTTACCTCCACAGTATTTGTTTCCAGAGAGTAAGTCATCTGTGTACCAAGTTTGGTTGAAATTCGTTCCAGAGTTATGCTGGAACACACGCACATGCACGCACACACAGAGCTATCTATCTATCTATCTATCTATCTATCTATCTATCTATCTATCT